ACCAAAAGGACGCCACCTCTGAAGACAATAAGAGATTTACAGCCCAATCAGAAAGTCAATAACATTGCCAAGGTCCTCATCACAATTAAGAGAATGACCATTGCACAAAAAACATAAGGCCTAGAACTACAAGTCCCTGACTCTACCAAAACAAAAAACAGTTCCTCAAAAGCTCTTGTGGTTCTTTCTCTCTAATAATCCACAAATAGCCAAATGGATATGTCATTTCCCTTCCTAATCATCCCATATCCTACTCAGCCCAAATCTCATAAAAAACCAAGCCAACCATCACCCAACTCAAACCCAGAAACTCAACTGCTAGTCACCAAAGATGAAAAGCGAAAGAGCACTGCAACAACTGATGGTTCGGAGATCAGCTGCCTTTTGCATAAATAGCACAAATTAACCAAAATCTCACCTCTTTTCCTCCAATCCTCAATAGTGGGGACTCCCCACAGCCTCCCAAGCAAAATTATTATACTTCGCAGGGCCGTATTCCAAGATGAGACTGTACAAACAAAGGCAGCCAATGAGAAGCACTATGAAATAACTGATCTATTGTCTATCAATATTATACTTCCCCTACATCCCTTCACTTCTAACACAGTTCACCTGTACAAGTCTTCTTCCCAGTGCTAATTGTCTCAAAAGATCATTAAGGTAGCACAGCCACAATTTACAATAGTGACAAAGGACTGATAATTAGTAACCCATCGTCACAGATTACTGAAAACACTTAAATGCAAGACTCATGGAGCTAAACCAACCGCCAAAAACTTATAATTAGATGAAAAGAAACACAGTTGTACTTCAAGCACACTCTTGAATAGATACCTTAATGTTCCCATTTTCCAATTAACACTACCACTACCAACTATGCACATTTCATTTTTATCCTAAAAAACCAACAGTCTATACACTGAGGTTAGGGAAGGAAGGGGTAGAGAGATGCATATATATAAAGGGTGCACTCCCACATGTCCCTTTCCAACTACAACATTATAGTTTTTGGTAGAGAAAAGAATTATTTCCATGGAACTGCAGGGTGCCAGCTAATTACAACAGTTACTTGGAAATCCAATACCATAAATTGTAGGCATCTAGCTTTAAACACAGAATAGAACTCTCATAGGCCACAAGAGCAGCCCCCTTGTGCTGTCTTCAAACCTCTGAAGAAAGAGGTCAACAGACTAAAGCTCATGCCTTCTTGACCTCCCTACAGTACAGATAATCAACCAAGTTTCTTCTCCATCCAGCCCACCATGCAACCATCCAACGCAGACCACTGTAAGCTAAAGCCATCTTCCAAAAGCTCACACCATTAAACTTGAGTGAACCAATAAAATTCCTGCATCATCTACTGTACCTCTTCTCATCAATTTTTTTCTTTTACAATTTTCCAATAAGCCATTTAGCATAAATGTAGTATAATAGGCTACCCAATAATACAGGTTCCACTTTTCACAGTTATTTTCTCACGCTTCTTCAGGCATTTGAAGCTAAAAGGGCAGTTATTTGCAATCATTTTGTTGAACATTTTGCATTTGAGATGCTGAGTTAATTAAAAACAAATGTTCACAACTTTATTTAGGGATAAAAGAACTACATTTTATATATCTGATGAAGTTTGGGTTTAAAGCAAAATTCCAGAAAGTACACTGTTTACTCGTGTGATTAACATCTGGTTATGTAAAATAATCAATTGAAACCATTCATCAAAGC